TACGTCCGAGTTCTCTGATCGACTCGATCCACTGTGCGACGCGATCCGTTTTCGCCGTTCCGACAAACTTCGGTCTGCGGTCGAAAACGAGGGTGTAAATTCCATAGGGTTTACATGTGACCCATAGGCGGATCCAGAGGGGGCGTATCGCTGAAAGAAAAAAATTGGTCATGTGAACTGAATATTCGGTGTTCCGTATCATTCCAAATATTCGGTCTGTCAAACTGAAATTTCGGTTCGTGTGACCGAACATTCGGCATATTAGACCAAACTTAGTTCGTCGGTTCACTTAACCGCACAAGTTCGGTTACACGAGCCGAAAGTTCAGTTTTCTGAACCGAGAGTTAAGTTTGACAAACCGAAAGTTCAATTTGACGAGCCGAAAGTTCAATTTGACGAAACGAAAATTCAGTTTGACGAACCGGATTAGATGGGATGAAATGGAACACCGAACTTTGGTACATATGACCGAACTTTTTTTCAGTGTATAGGGAACTTACATCCCTCGTTCGCTCGATAACAGAGAAGAAAAAGAGATGAAAGAGAGAAGGAAGGAACGGAGGGAAGAAGAATCAAGGACCCTATAATATTTGGTAATTATTCATGAGGCAGTTGACTCAAACTACGTATTAGATGCTTTTAAATTTCGAAAATTCGCTAACAGAGGTCTTTTTATCTGTGAACGATTTAATTCTCCTGAATCGAGCCATCATTCAGTAGAGGAAAATAGGAAAATGAAAAAATGCGCAGCTTGAATTGCGAAATGCTCTGAGAATGGATTCCTCTAAGACACGGGCGGACATGTGGTGTTGGCAGCGTTTTTATTTTCTTCCTTGATGTAAAATGTAAAATTTACATTTCATAAAAGCTTTCGTTGTTTCCTCGTGAGCTTATAACTACGCTGCCGTGCTGAGGGGAGACACCGTATAAACCTTCAGGTGTTGCCAAATTTCCTTTGATAAAACACGAATTTCCTGGTAAATATATCAACATCTTCCTTTCGATTTTTCAGATAATGTTGTACCCCATTTCACCTACAGTTCCTGAAAATTTCAGGGGAAAATTCTCATAATTTTTCTCAAAAATAAACATTTTATAGAAGGGAATGTGGCAACTCTCGAATGTTCATACGACGTTCTTCCTTAGCACGGCAGTACGGAAACCCACGTTTTTAACTGGCATCGCGAGAATTGAATTCATAGAAACATTAGCTGTGACAAGAGTACCTAGGCTATATATAGAGTACGGACATGTCGGTAATTTTGAGGTTAGTTTTATTTTGCGAACATTCTTGGCCATTTTGGTTTGATATTGGAATCTGAAGATTGGCAGTGACATTTTTTGTTTTCATAGGTTGGCTGTTCTTTTGAGCAATATTTCGACAAGTTCGCACTCTCCCTATATATAGCACTGAACAAAAATAGTTTTGAGATATTATTTTGACTTAAAGTGACAACAAATTTTTGGCAAAATTTGCTTTTTTTCAGTTAAATCCTTGTGGATTTAATTTAGAATCAGTTTATTTAATTTAAAAAAGCGTCGTTTTGTATCGTTTAGTTTAACTTGATAAAACTATAACAAAACGTTCCTTTAACTCACATAAACCAAATTTTGTAGACAAGAAACGACGCTAATAAATATAAAATCGCAAGAAATTTTTTTTCAGTGAGGTACTCTAGCTGTGCTACCGTGCTAAGCAAGGACACCGGAAATCCGTCAAGATTTTCCGTCGTTTTTTGGAACTTAACACTTTATAAAATACAAACTGTTTTACACATGCACCTTTAAATTTTCAGGTTCAGTTCTTGGTAGTATTTGCGAAAGTGTTCTGTAAAAACATTGTCCCAAGGTACTTAAGTTTTTCTGCTATGATACATTGTTTCCAAAAAATGTAAAATAGCATTTACGACGTTTTTGAATTGCACGGCAGTGTGACGCTGTGTATCAGAGTTGCAAAAATGTAAGAAACTGAAGGATGACCGACAATTTCAGTACCAAAACCATTGCATACCTAATTCGAATGGCGAAAATTCCTGCTCCATTGGTAAAATACGTAAAGTGGGCAAAACGCAATTCCTGCTTTAAATAAAGAAAAAAAATGAGGCATAACGGCTACGGTTCCGTAAGCGTCCGTAACTCCGCTGGACGGAACAACGGAAACGTCGATACGGTATATTCGTGTCACCGCGCCGCGTCGCGTCGGGTCGTCTCGATGTCCACTTTTTTTTTCTTTTTCTTTTTTTCTGGGCCGCCGGGAATATTTTCCGGTTTTTCCGCGGACCATTTCCAGTCCGCGATGAATTATGAGGAGTCGGACAGCGGCGATACGATGGGCCGATGAGGCCGCCGATAGCGGACTCTGTCCTACGATCTTAGAGTCAGAGTCGCGTAAGTGCAACGTGAACACTGCGGAGATCTGCGGTTTTTGAACGAGGGGGATGGAGTTGTCGCGGTGGTACCAACTTAATAATTCTTGCTCCGTAGGTGTGACACTGGTTTATTGTGTTCCGAGAAAATGCCACTCGGCCAGTTGACCATTCTCCGGCCCTGATGCCGAGTTCGTGGCATCGTTCCGTGCGAAATGGAAATGTAAATGCGGGGCTCAGAAAGGGAGCAATATTTGGAATAATCGTTGAAAATTTCAAGCTATGAAGTTGGCTTGTTTGGCCTTGAAAAAATGAAAGAGGAGCCGACATGTTAAAACATGGCACCTGAGATACGTGGTTTTGCACTTTAGCCACATATATGACGTTGGATCGATATTCGCTCCCACACGCAAGCGCAATGGCGAAGCGCGAACGATCGATTATCGACACTTCTCCATTTTGGTTCAAAATAATGGAGCATAATCTAAAATAACCAAAACAAAAAAAATTAGGATTGAAGTTGGAAAAGCTGAAAATGAGAAAATTCCTAACAATATCACTTTTCATTGCCGTTTGGTTCTCGAAAAAATAGACATTCTTTCAAAAAAGACCCGTTCCCTCAGATTTCTAAATTGACTTTTGGGGGTATGTTGGCATGTTGTAGCAATCGATATCGATGCAATCTCATCCGTTCGATGTATCGCATACGATCTATGGTAAATCAATCGATATATCGCAAAGCACGTCACGCCACTGGACGAGTGACAACCACGTCGCGGCTTTTCTCACTCCGGCTGCAGTTTGGGCCGCCTCTGTGAGCGTCACTCGGACTAATTTATGCCAAAAGGAACTATGTGCATAAGGTTTACGTGTCACATAGTTCCTTTTAGCGTAAATACGTCCACTTGAAAACGAGGGCCGGAAACTCCCCCGCCCGCCGCGCGACTCGCAATCGTGGAGGAGGCCACGAGGAACTATTAAGCGACCATTAGGAGCGTCCACTCAGGGCGGAGATCCATAACGACTTCCTCCCGCGAGGCAGAAGACGCTGGCAACGCGACTTAACGACAGCGTCCCGGTCAAATCGCCGGATATTCAAATGTGTCCTCCTGCTTGCAGCTAAATAGGTTGGAACAGGAGCCGGGGCCCGCCGAGCGCGAAATCCGCGCTCGCGACCCTAGCGACGCGGACGCTTTGATTTAACCTGGTTTCATACGCGACCAGCGGGCTGAGAATGGAGATGTTGCATGTGTGAGGAATTTGCGATTTGACTGTTGATTCTTACGGAAAAGTTCGCGAGAAACACGATGGTGCCACTGGTTTTCTCTTAAATCGACCCAAGCTCAAAAAAGCTCTCAAGTTGAGGCCAAAATGAAGGGAATATCCCCCGCTGTCCTGAGAGTCCACCTCTACATCAAGACAAACTCTCCATGCAAAGATAGGGAGCAAATACATTAGCAGTGATGCCGTGTTTTCAGTTTTAGAGTCCCCAAATAAAGTGGCAGCCCTGTCAATGTATTTGCTCCCTATCTTTGCATGGAGAGTTGGTTTTGATGTAGAGGTGGACTCTCAGGATAGCGTGGGATATCCCCTCCATTTTGGCCTCGACTTGAGAGCTTTTTTGAGCTTGGGAGTTGATTTCAGAGAAAACCAGTGGCACCATCGTGTTTCTCGCGAACTTTTACATAAGAATCAATAGTCAAATCGCAAATTCCTCACACATGCAACACCTCCATCAAACTGGGNGGGGGGGGGGGGGGGGGGGGGGGGCTGATTATTGAGATTGATAGACGAGGGATGGACAGTGAAGACAGAGGGAAAATGGAGTGAGCATATTGGTTGGAACCGGTGGTTGCTATGGACAATGCGTCCCTTTCTGATGAAGTAACGTAATGGGCCGGAGGACTAGGCACAAAAGTGCAGTTTCTGAAAAAAAATAAGATAATAGCGATTTCAAGAATATCTATTCTTAATGCACATTCTGTGAAAAATTCGATGCCAAATTTCGATTTTAAAGCATCAAAAAGTCAGTCTAAACTTTCTTTCCGCCACAAGGATCCGTGTAATTTCGAAACTTCAAACACGCATTTCTCGGAATAAAACTGCGCTTAACCGCTTTGTCCTCCACTTTCATTTTAAAGCTGCCAACATTTTTTCTCGCATCTTGCATTCTTACCAAGAGAATCTTGGGCATCAAACTGAAAATTCCACTGATTTATCCTCTGATCTCAAACAAAAAAGAGAGACATTTTTGGAAAAAAATTACACACGTCAATGCTTGTAAGAAATTAAATTGTTTTAGTCAATTTTACAACCTTGCAATTGAGTTACGTTCCTTCGTCCAAGAAATGACGAATGGAGGTTAGTTGACGGCATCTCACGAGAGACCCCTGAAACTTTTTGCCTCCCTTAATTTAAAAATCTGAATTTTTGTATATGCACCCATCTTTCATACATATTCTTTGTATCTAAAGACAGTAATAGCCTGAGATGCTGAAGGTCTCTAAATAAATTAACTTACTAACTAACTATGTCTAGACCATCATTTCCCCCCTCATAAACCGTGAAATATAACTTGCACACTCTTTTCTTAAGACTTGGCTACAATGCGTACGTAAAATGTTTCGGTAAGGCTTTTCTAAGGAAACGGCTCATTGTGAAGAGGCGAAAATTTCAAAAAAAAAGCGCCGACCCGACTTTCGACCTCAGCATCCCTTAAAGCTTCGCACGGGCTCTCCCGAGAAATCCCTGTTACCGCGAGTGAAATTTCCAAGTTGTAATTAATTTTATCGATGTAGGCGTCAATTGGAATGCTGTCCGGGTTTCTTCATTTCTCGCAGCCGTTTTCTCGTTGGCTCATCCTCTCGTCAAAATCCTCGACTATGGGTTTCCAGAGCAACGGTGGCTGAAATGAGTTCTAAAGACAACTGTCGGCGGCGTTTGGACGTGCGCGCGTCGCCATGGGACCTGCGTAGCTTCAACGGTCGCTGGCACTACTACGCGTGGATCACCGACCCCCGTCTTGCCCTGGTGAGAAATGAAATGCAATTTCCCATTCAGAACTACACTCTCTGGCTCAGTTTAGAAACAACGTATGGGCCATCTGTTTTCCTATGTACATGAGTATTTTTAAGGATGAGTCAGAGATTGTGGTTCCTAATTTGTAGAATGAAAGAGTAGGCAATTATTGTTTTTAAATCAGTTTGAATGAAACAAATTATTGTTATAATAAACGCTGTTCATATGCTGAAAGATATAATAATTCACTCTAATCTATTTAATTCGAAGTCCAAATAGAGAATTTGCAGGTGTCTGAAATTTGATGAATTTTGTGTTTAATTGGAAAGTACGGAGTAAACTGAACATGAGGAACATGAATCGAACAATTATGGGAGAAGATATGACAAAATGATCTAATTTGCTACAATACGTGTGTTTAGATGGGAAATGCCGCCAGATGACGTCACTGTAGGCGGTGCACTTATTCTCGCTTTTAAATATATTTTTAACCTATCTCCCATATCAGAAAAAAAATTATAAAAAATACTGTGAAATCAGCTCTATAAGCACTTTTATACGAAGCAATAAAAAATTTGCATGCAAACTCTCCATTACGACTCTATGTACACGGAAAAAAAACCTCGTGGGACCCGAAGTTTCGGTCATATGGATCTCGGAAGTTTTTCGATTGAGCATCTGAACACTTAAGGTCTAGTTGTCGAGGTTCGGATCACACATCTGAAACTTCAGTTCTCATATCTGAAGTACTTCAGACATGAGGACCGAAGTTTCTCGGATGTGAGAACCGAAGTTCTTCGGATGTGAAAACCGAAGTACTTCAGATGTAAGAACTGAAGTTTCAGATGTGTGATCCAAACCTCTAAAGGCTAAAGGTAAAAGCTAAAGGTGGTAAGGAAAGAAATAACACTCGGAGGACGCTTTTAGATCACCTTTATGGGCAAGGTATCATACCGAACTGAAACTGAGAAATGGAAAACTGGAGGAATCAAAACTTTACAAAACAGCTGACGCTTTTCGCCAACACGCCCCCTCAAAATTTAACTTGGGGATTAAATTTTGACATTGAAAAATGAAATGTAAATTNGCTGGACCTTAAGAGTTCGGATGCTCAATCCGAAAACTTCAGAGATCCATATGATCTATACTTCAGGTCCCACGCACGAAGTTCCGTGTACTCTATGATTACATCCTATTGCTTGATCCTTAGATAGGCAGCTGGACGATAGACGATGCAAAAAAGCTCCTGGAGCTGTATGAGGGGGAGAAAGAGCCTCCCGGTACGACCCCCGAGTTGATCGGCTACGCGAAGCGCCTCCACGAGGGGTGTGTCCACCCGGAAACGGGGTGTCGCATCCCCCGCTTGGCCCGCTTCAGTTCCGTGCCGATCGTCCAGACCGCGCTGACGGCGGCCATGGTCACCTTTTGCCGAAGCATACCCCAAGTCTGGTTCTGGCAGCTCGTCCACAACAGCTACCACGCCTACATCAACCAGGCCAACGGCAACGGGACGGCCCCGCGGACACCGGTGGGACAGGCCGTGGCGCTCGGGTCCGCGACGGTGGTGGCGTCAGTCGTGGCGGTCCCTTTCAAGGCCACGCTCAGTAGGGCCTTGTGCCATAGCAGGTATAGTATCACAATGGGCCTGTTGCAAACTTTTGCTAGAGCAAAACTAAGAGTTGTTTCCTACAGATAATACCTCAAAAATCACGATGAGCGCATCGGCAAAGTCTGAAATGCACTCATAACTTCACAATCTGCGTAAGAAATTTGCGGTTTTTTGAGCTTCCCGCTTCGAAAACGATACTACGGTACAGGTGAACATTTTGTTAGAGGAGTCGTTCCATNACCCTTTAGTGGGAACTTTCGTTTTTGGTGGTCCAAGAGGAGGACTTTGGGGCTTGTATCATCATCACCCTTTAGCTTTGTTTCATGATCAAGTAGCCTTGTCTTAACAAAAGCTAATGTCAAGTTGTTTTCTGACAAAGTCTCGATAGCTGTAACGATACCATCATAGCTGCTTGGCAACGTCACTAAAAGGTGAGCCACCTTATCAAAGGCTAAAGGTAAAAGCTAAAGGTGGTAAGGAAAGAAATAACACTCGGAGGACGCTTTTAGATCACCTTTATGGGCAAGGTATCATACCGAACTGAAACTGAGAAATGGAAAACTGGAGGAATCAAAACTTTACAAAACAGCTGACGCTTTTCGCCAACAACCTCAGCAGCTGGACCTTAAGAGTTCGGATGCTCAATCCGAAAACTTCAGAGATCCATATGATCTATACTTCAGGTCCCACGCACGAAGTTGTTTTCTCCGTGTACTCTATGATTACATCCTATTGCTTGATCCTTAGATAGGCAGCTGGACGATAGACAATGCAAAAAAGCTCCTGGAGCTGTATGAGGGGGAGAAAGAGCCCCCCGGTACGACCCCCGAGTTGATCGGCTACGCGAAGCGCCTCCACGAGGGGTGTGTCCACCCGGAAACGGGATGTCGCATCCCCCGCTTGGCCCGTTTTAGTTCCGTGCCGATCGTCCAGACCGCGCTGACGGCGGCCATGGTCACCTTTTGCCGGAGCATACCCCAAGTCTGGTTCTGGCAGCTCGTCCACAACGGCTACCACGCCTACGTCAACCAGGCCAACGGCAACGGGACGGCCCCGCGGACACCGGTGGGACAGGCCGTGGCCCTCGGGTCCGCGACGGTGGTGGCGTCAGTCGTGGCGGTCCCTTTCAAGGCCACGCTCAGTAGGGCCTTGTGCCATAGCAGGTATAGTATCACAATTCGTCGCTTGGCTGACATAGAGGCGTAACTTCACATTGAGATGAGCCCGGAAAAGCATTGAATTGTATGGAAAACAAGGCTTATTGCAGGGTGTAGTTACGCCCTTATGCGAGGTAGGCGACGAATTGGTAAAATTTAAAAAATTTTAAAAAATTTACAAAAATTTTAAAAAACTTTTTAAAACAAACTTAAAAGCACTCACTTGCATAAAATTGTAATTTTGAAGCGGACGTTTCATTTAACGTAGTTTCATTTAACAAAAAAATGTCAATTTGTGATACTATGAGAAAATGTTTTACAGGAGTTTAAACTACTACACAAGTCGTTAAATCGGTAAAATTTACAAACATTTTAAAAAACTTAAAAAAAAACTTAAAAGCACTCACTTGCATAAAATTTTAATTTTGAAGCAGACGCATTTCGGAGGTGTCCCGACCTCCGTTCTCAGCGCGACTCAAAGTGTCGTAAGACTGAGACGCGCGGAGGACGGAGGTCGGGACACCTCCGAAATGCGTCTGCTTCAAAATTACAATTTTATGCAAGTGAGTGCTTTTAAGTTTTTTTTTAAGTTTTTTAAAATGTTTGTAAATTTTACCAATTTAACGACTTGTGTAGTAGTTTAAACTCCTGTAAAACATTTTCTCATAGTATCACAAATTGACATTTTTTTGTTAAATGAAACTACTGTAGGCAAGTGGAAAAGATGGGGTGCTCTAGAAAGCTGCACAAGAAACAATATTAAATTGGGCGCGATTCCCATTGGGGAATTAGAAAAACGAGGTTTTACATTCTACCAAACGGAACTAAGTGCCAGCCGTATGCGTATATGAATCGAACAACTCAATATGCTTGCTTTGCTGCAACATTGTAGACGTTGCCAGTCAAAAACTCTAATTCCAATTCTTGACAAAAATCCCTCTCAGGATCATTTCATTTCGTGCGTTACTTTTCCCGTAAATGATCACAAATCTTAGAATTAGTATAATTTTCAAACCGTAGACTGCATGTATGTCATCACAGATTCCGCACGTTGATTCCGTTGACGGTGGTGATGCTATCGCAAGCTGTGAGTGTACCTCTATCTCGCCAATACGAGCTCCGGCATGGAGTCGAAGTTCGCAACGAGGAGGGCGAGACATTCGGAGCTTCGAAAGCGGCGGCGGCCCTAGGGATCTCGCAGACAGCTGTTTCACGGATGATCCTCTTCGCACCTTCCATGCTCCTCGTCCCTCTCATGACGATGACCCTGCAGCGACAACCCTTTCTGAGGAGGAGCAAATTCATTATTCCTGCAATTCAGGTAAGTAATGGTAACGCCCGAATGCAATGGAGATGTTGCATGTGTGAGGGATTTGCGATTTGACCATTGATGCTTATGTAAAAGTTGGTGAGAAACACGATGGTGCCACTGGTTTTCTCTGAAATTATCTCCCAAGCTCAAAAAAAGCTCTCAAAGTGAGGCCAAAATGGAGGAGATATCCCACTCTACCCTGAGCGTCCACCTCTACATCAAGACAAACTCTCCATGCAAATATAGGAAGCAAATACATTAGCAGGGTTGCCGTGTTTTCAGTTTTGGAGTCCCCAAATAAAGTGGCAGCCCTGTCAATGTATTTGCTCCCTATCTTTGCATGAAGAGTGAGTGGGATATCCCCTCCATTTTGGCCTCAACTTGAGAGCTTTTTTTGAGCTTGGGAGTAGATTTCAGAGAGAACCAGTGGCACCATTGTGTTTCTCGCGAACTTTTACATAAGAATCAGCAGTCAAATCGTAAATTCCTCACACATGCAACTTCTCCATTATTCGCTCTTGCATGTTGCCTATTCATATTAGAAAGGCGCCTCGAGCACCTAATGACAACGCACGGATGCAACTTTTCGTGCTTCATGGTTGAGTATGTTGCCTATCCATATTATGAAGGCACCTCAAGCACCTAAAGCCATGGATGCAACTTAACGTGCTTCATAGTTGCGCATGTTGCCTATCCATATTATGAAGGCACTTCGAGCACATAAAGACAACGCCGGAATGCAATTATTCGTGCTTGATGGTTGTGCGTGTTGCGTATCTAAATTAGGTAGGTGCCCTGGGTTACTCAATAATAAACTTCTGCCAGAACTCAATATTGAGGTTAGGGATCGATGCAACCTTACGCATTTATATTTTGTTCCTATTTATCATCTAGCTAAGGTTTAGTTTACGTTTAATCATGCAAGCCAGTGGTTGGTCCAGGTGCTAGTTGCCGCAGATCCCTCCGCCAATCATTCTATGTGGAGTCTTACAGTCCGATATGTTGCAGGTTGTTGTGAGCAGTGCATTATTCACTCTGATGGTTCCCATGTCCCTCGCTTTGTTCTCTCCAACTGCGAGCCTCGATTTGGAGACTCTGAGAAAATTTGATCCTGAAATCTACGAATCTGTGATGCGTTTGACCCAGAGGAACAGCTTTCTGTCCAAACCTATTCCTTGCACCCACGTGTACTTTAGTAAAGGCCTTTGAGTTAAACCTTTAGTGAAATCACTTTATAATACGCGCGTAATGAGACTATCCTCACGAGATGGGAATCGAGGTCTCACCAGAGACGGATCTAGCAATTTGGCAACACTGGATTTCCTCCATTTAAACCTACGTAAAATAATCGATTTTTGACGGAGCACTTGGCCCCTCCAAGAATCGATACATTTCTATAGGTTTAAATGGAGGAAATCCGGTGTTGCCAAGTTGCTAGATCTCACCAATGTCCCTTTTCTCGTTATATATTGACGCTATCATTCCTAAATAATTGCATGATGATGAGTGGCCAGAGACCTTTCACAGGAGGACGGAGGCATTATTTTCGAACTAAAGTGGAATGTACGTCAACCAATTTATGCCCAGAAGTGTTTTTTTTAGTACATTAATTTATGGTGATTGTAACATTTATTGAATTATTTTTTCCCGGAATCAAACTTTTAGAGGTACACATCACGCTCATATTTTAATAAGATACATTCATTCACGTATGACTATTGACCAGTATTGCGTTCGGTTAATAGAACCGTTGGACCAGGCATTACGCACTGATAAGTTTTTTTAGATTCTCTGATTTACCAGTCTCAGATTCATTTGCGACGTTCCTTCCAATTTTTATTTTAAAAATAAAGGTAAAATAGGAAAATCTGTGATTCTTTATATTTCATCCCATTTATTCACATTCCCCCTCAGTGTTCGAAACTCACAGGTGCCAACGCGCCAAATCCGCCTAAAAAATCGGCCATGGCGCCTAAAAAATGAAGGCTCTGCGCCAACGTGGCCCCTTAGAATTGCCCCCTAAAAATCTGGATTTTCATATCAGGTGATTATTCGAAATTTTCAACACTACTTTTTCTATTTTTCACGATTTCATCCTTTGCGCTTTTGTTTTTCCCAAGTTACAGCTGCTTACTAGTTCTGTTGCGACAACATCTTGCGTCTAACTTTTCACTAAATGCACCGTAATATATAGGCAAAAAATCAATTTGGCCCCTAAAAAATCTTCAATGGCGCCTAAACATCGGGCTTGATGCGCCACGTGGCTCCAGAGTATACTTGTTAAAGACTGAAGAGAAAAATGACGAACCAACAATGAAGGGTCCCTCGTGGGTTGCCGACAACTACCAGCCTCCAATAGGAATCCTCCATTTTCCTTTTGTCTTCTTTTTAGTAACTTTGTTCATTAATTCAAATAGTCAGTCCGCAGGGAGCTGTCATGAAATGGTTTACTATTCTACGCTGCGTTTAAGTCTCCAAGCCATCTATTGGCCAGGCCAGGTATCTAGGCAACCTATACAGCGGGGTAACGGTGTCACAGTTAAGCATAATATTAGACCACAAACTGCCGAACCTGTGTATACAGGCTGATTACTGAAATTGATAGACATAGCGATCGATAGATAAAAAGGACGACGGAAAAAAAGTAATCCTATTGGTGGCCCTATATCCAGTGGTTGTTATTGATCATGAGGGAAATGACGGACTAAATCTTTGGTCTCTCGTGGGTTGCCGTTAGTTAGTCTATTATATACCTCGTATGGCAGTTGCGACCACTCGCTTCTACTAATGGGATCTTTCCATTTGTCCTTTGTCTTCTGTGTGCATAGCTCTGTCTATCAGTTTGAATATTCAGCCCGCTGCTGTATTCCTGCAAATATTAATTTGATTTGAAGATTTTTGAGAGGTAAGTTTTTCGTAGGGAATTTGGCAATCGTGTGTGGAGAATGTAAACAAGGAAGAGCGCAGAAGAGAGGAGTCATACTACAAAAGAGCGACGCGAAGATCAGGCGAGGCAGAGAGGGCGAAGAAAAATAATACGAGGAAAATGCGCTTCTGAAGGATAACCAGTCCGTCAGTTCACAAAAGTTCATGCCAGTGTTGATAGTTCGCTAAAAAGTATTGAATTTTGCGTGCATAAATCAGCGTTCCTCTGAGTATAAGAGGAAGCATCACTCTTACTCGTTTTTCTTTCTTTCTTCTTTTTTCACCAACTTCTTCTCCTTCTCTCTTTTTGCGTTTTTATCTTTTCATATTCTTCTATCTTCTTTTCCTTCCTCATTATCTCTTTTTCTCTCATTTTTTATCGTGTCGACGGCAAATTCGCCAACAGAGACCGTCTGACTACCATGTAGGGGATGATACCACTCTTCAACCACGCGGGAGCTCGTGTTGCCTGCACTAAAAATTGAAGGCAAATTTACACGCCGTTCATGTAATACTTTCCCGTGTGATGAAACGGTAGTTTCTAAGTGGATTCTGAGTAAGCATACAAGTTCCAGATAATCTCACTGTTTCCTCTCTTTTTCATTTCTCTCTTCCCTTTCCTTCTCTTCTATTCCTCTTATCTCCTTCTTCTTTCTCATTTCTGCTTCATTTTTTTCTACTTCACCAAATAAAAAGTTTCTTGGGTCCGGAGTCCAGACTCTTAAAAAATTTGACAAGAAAAAATACTCTCGACTCAATCGGATTTTTACTTGAATCTAAAGGAAATCCGCTTAAATACAGAAGCTTGCCTCTCGATTCAAGCAAAACTCCGATTGAATCGAGAGTATTTTTTCTTGTCAATTCATTCAAGAGTCTGGACTCTGATCAAAGATACTTTCATTCAGTGTCAACTTTCTGTTTTCTTCATCTTCTTGTTCCCTCTCATCATTCTTTTTCTGTCTTTAATCTTAATCCTTTCCTGTTTATTGCCTTTCCTTCCGAGGGGAGTAGATCGTATAGCTAGATCGTAGACCCTATAGCCAGACTTTCCCCCAGCCTATGACCACCTCCCGTTTCAACTAATAGGATTGCTCCATTTTATCTTTGTCAAATAATTTCAATGATCAGCCCGCTGAACAGTTCCTCTTCAAAAGCGTCATGAAGTTGACCTGAAAAAAAATTCTCGGCGTTTTTACCAAGGTCCGTTGGTACCTTTACCATCTCACTTTTTTTTACCAATTATTGGTAATTTTACCAAGACAGACTGGTAAGCTTACCTAAAAACCGGTATTTTTACTGTTTTTTCAGGTAAGAATACAACTTTTATTGGTAATCAATTCCCGGTAACTTTGCCATTTTATCTCGGTAATTCTACCACAGTCGATAAAAAATATTTGCGTTTTTACCAAGGTCCAGTAAAATTACCGAGAAAGTTCAATAACTTCACCGAGATTTCTTAGTAAAATTACCAATTCCATAAATGATAATTTTACCAAGAAAAAACTGGGATCAAATAGAACCCTGAATTCTTGGTAATTTTACCCTTTTCTTAGTAAATACACCGAGATTTTTTTTTAGTGTCCAATGCGGCATCACTGTCGTGAGCGGATCGGCTCGTAAGGACCAGACCGAGGGAGGCAGAGTGTCAGACAGGGATGGGGTCCGGAGGGGGCGAAAGGGGGGCCAAGGGGGGCTGTCCTCGGGGGGCATTTATGCAAATAGATGATGCGCAAGAATACAGCACGTGAGACTCCGGGAGAGGATCTTCAGGCTCCGCTGACTCCGGAGCACCAATGTGGTACCGTTGCGGTTTGCAGACGCGTATGTGATGCGGTAACCGACCGCAGGTAATGGTGTGGCCGAAACTCGGTTTTTTTTCACGATGGCGGAGCCGCGTAAGAGATAATGGAGTGCGTCCGTTGCTGTCCATGAGGATAAAAAGCTCCGTAACTTTCGTGCAGAAACTCATTTGCCGTGCATAGTAAGCAGTGTTCGAAACTCACAGGCGCCAACGCGCCAAATGCGCCTAAAAAATTGGTCATGACGCCTAAAAAATGAAGGCTCTGCGCCAACGCGGCCCCTAAAAATTGCCCCCTAAAAATCTGAATTTTCATATCTGGTGATTATTAGAAATTTTCAACCCTAGAAGTGAAAGCTTTTTCTATTCTTCACGATTTCATCCTTTGCGCTTTTGTCTTCCCCAAATTACAGCTACTTACTAGTTCTGTTGCGAAAACATCTTACATCTAACTTTTCACTAAATGCACCGTAATATGTAGGCAAAAAGTCAATTTGGCTCCTAAAAAATCTTCAATGGCGCCTAAATATCGGGCTTAATGCGCCATTTGGCTCCTAAAACTCAAAGGTGAGTTTCGAACACTGGTAGAAGTAGTAGTAGTAGCAGTAGTCGCAGAAGTAGTAGTAGTAGCAGTAGTCGCAGAAGTAGTGGTAGTCGTAGTACATACTCCGGACCTGACGGTGGTATATTTCACTTTTAGCGAGAATTGTAAACTTTAAGATTCCACGAATATTTCGAATACACATCTGACCCTAGTGTCAAATCCCAGGGGTAACTTCCGCAACATCAAAATCTCACCGCTCCTTTAAAATATCTCCTCCTCGGGTTTACCGCACCAGAAAGATTATTCCGTTGGGTCAAGAAGCCGCTCTACTGCCGTGGGTGACAAAATCACCTATCTACCAGTGTTTTACCTTGGGCTTGCTATGTTCTTACAAATAAAAGCAGGACAGCGCCGACCGCAGCAATTTGGGTACGTTATTTCGTCTCCCCACTGGACCAGTCACCAACTTACCCGGCCTGGAGAGATGGGGAAGGGGGGTCGATAAAAAACTGTCGCAAAATCGGACACAATCTGGACGAGGAAGCGTCGATATGTCTCATTAGGCACAGCGGTACGGGCCGGCCGGTGCGATGGGATTGGCTCGCTACCGCCACTGTCGCACGTCGGTTTATTGGACGCATTAAGAGAGATTTATATCCATCTGACATGAGCCCTGAGATACATGATAATGCATGCATGATAGGGCTCATTTCGCAACGTATATAGTTCCTTTTGGCTTAACTGCGTCCTATTGGAAGTGCAACCCGTTCGGTCATCGGTGAGAGGAAACCGGACGACGGGCCTCGGATGCCATCTCGCCTCCATATTCAAAATTCTGATACGTGCACTGGAAGAAAAAAAAAAAAAAAAAAAAAAAAAAAAAAAAAAAAAAAAAAAAAAAAAAAAAAAAAAAAAAAAAAACCACACATTGGATCTAGAGTCCAGACTCTTGCAAACATTGACAAGAAAAAGGACTCTTTATTCAATCAGATTTAAGCTTAAATCAAAAGGAAATCCGCTTAAATTAAGAGGCTTGGTTTTTGATTTCAGCTAGATTCTGATTGAATCAAGAGTATTTTTTCTTGTCGATGTTTTTTAGA